TATATCTCCTGAAATGGGTCATCAATTCCCACGACGTGGTGTGATACTAAATTAAATGTGCATTTTGGAAATGCCACTACGTGGCATGAATATGGCCACATCGTGGTAGTCGCTGCATCGATTCCCTCATATATAAACACCTTAACTCTCATTCAAGGTCACCTTCTTCAGCCTCCAGCTCCGTTATCTCGAAACCCTAACCTCCATGCAAGCTTGAGAGATCGTTCCCTTGATTTTGAGCCTTGTTCATGGATTTTTGGAAAAGGGAAGTTCACAAGGAAGAAAGAAGCAAATTTGGATCCACCATGCCTTTCAGTTTTCTAAGTTATTGAAGGTATAAAGCTCATAGTTTGAATCCTATTCTTTTAGATTCAAGTTTTAGGCCATATTTGGGTAGGTTTGGTCATTTTCTTGGATGCTCTTGGAATTCTAAGAACTCTAGAACCTTTGGTGGCGTTCCTAGTTCCTTAGACTTCTATTGATTTAGAATAAGAACCATGTTTGGTGTATTCTATGGCCTTGTTCGGCTTATAGCCTTATTAAGGACTTAAGGGACTTTGAAGGTTACATCTAGCCTCGGTAAGGAGTTATAATGGATAAAGTTGGAAGAGTAGATTTGGAAACTTTACCCATTAAGTCAATATGGAAGAGTAGATTTGGAAGTATGAGATTTGATATGAAAGGATTAACCTCTTAATGTGGGAAATAACATTCTGCTAGTGACCACGATTTGGCAATTGGTAGTCACATCATGGCGAAGTTTAGAATCATGATTGTCTTGTCTTGAAATTACCATTGCATAGCCAAGGAGGGCCATGACATGGCAATTTCTTACATGTTGACTATTTCACCTTGCATTCCTACGACGTAGCCAAGGAGGGCCAGCAATGTGGCATTGACTTTGACCAAGTTGACATTTGACTTTTTGGCTAGTTTGACTTAGGGTGAAACTTGAAGGATTTGGGTTGCTGATTAAGGGTCTAGCATGTTTTGGTGATAGTAGGTTTATGGGAGTAATCAGTACAGAAAGAGAGCATGACACGATGTTGTTCGGACCTCTGATTCATGTGAGTTTTCCTCCTTGTACTCGTGGGTCGAAGAAACCAATACCAACCCACTAAATTTTGTTATGTATATTTTTTAATAGTATATTGTGCCATAGTGATCTGCTATATATATATATATATATATATATATATATATATATATATATATATATATATATATATATATATATATCCTGTAGACTGGTTAGCATGTAGGAGTAGCAATATGCAGGTTAATGTACATATATATATATATATATATATATGTGTGTGTGTGTGTGTGTGTGAGTGTGTGTGTGTGTATGTCTGTATGTGTATGGACGTATCCTAATTTGCTAGGATGTAGGAGTAGCAGTATGTTGGTTAATGTACCAATAGACTGGTTATCGTTTAGTAGAGTGCCCTAAGGGTTGTATGTAGCCATGTAGGATACCCTGATAACTCTTTATCTAGGCTTTCTTGTGTGTTCCTTGTTTGGTTGTGGCTCTTGAGTGAGATTATATGTTTGGGTGTCTATCTGAACTTTGGTTAATTAAATTGTTTTAATTAATTAAAACAATTTTTTAAGGAATTAATAAATTAATTAGAAGTTATATATAGATTGCTAGGGGTCAACCCTTGGCTGCTGATTCCTTATAATTTTTTTCTAGGCTCTTTCTCTCTCTCTCTCTCTCTCTCTCTCTCTCTCTCTCTCTCTGTATGTGTGTGTGTGTATATATATATATATATATATATATGTGTGTGTGTGTGTATGTGTTTGTATACTTGGAAGAAATTCATATCCCCTCTCCTAGGGTTAGTGAATTTCGCATATAACCTAATCTAGGGTTCTTCTTTTTCGCTTTTGGAGTTTATGGGCCTGACTTCATTAATGGATCCTACTTTTGATCCAGATCCTTTGCATCAACTAGCATTCACACAATTTCAAGCAAGAAATCAAGACGTTAGTGCGTTCTTCTTTGTTATTTTTCAATGTATGTTGCTAATACTATTAAAACCTAGATATAAGTTGGATGTAAACTTAGGTAAATCTGTAGATTATTATACTAGTTTTTTGATGTGTATATGAAGCTAATAAAACCCAACACATTCACCATACCTTATGGCATATTTGAATGGTCCACAAATATTTATGTTCATAAGGTCCTACAAATCCATGCCTCTTTCATAGATTCCTATGAATGGTGCTTTTGTCATTTTGCCAAGTAAACAAGATTCACATACATCATCTTACTCTAAGTCAAATTATTCCAATATCCCATCCAGTTGGAGCTTGTTGATGTGTTTCTTGTTTATATTTCCAAGACGACAATGCCACAAACATGATTTATCCGATTCACTTTCAAAAGAATCAAATTTTATGATTAGATTATTACTATTACGCATGAAAACAACATTTTTGTGTATACAATTAGATGAAATAGCTTTAAAATTAAAACAAAGATTCTTATAAACCAAAATATCTCCATTATCATTATTAAAATAAAACGGATACCATCCTTGAAAAACACATTAAATGAAATAATGTTTCATGCCATTTTTGGCGAGTAGCAACAATTCAATAATGTTATAGAAACAACACTAGATAGCATGAGTTTATAGTCCTTAATCCTTGTGACAACAACAACAACAAATATATGTTTAGTTCCTATGATCAGGTTGAGCTCCCCATGCTTTAGTTTTCTACTTTCGCTTAGTCCAAGTATTTCATAGAAAATGTGAGTACCAAATCTTCTATCAAGGACCCACGAATTAGATGGAGATGTACTATGGAGTTCAATAATAAACATACATGATTTTCCATGCTCATTGAATTTGTTCTTCTTTAGATGCTCTAGAAATTTAAGGAGGCAACATTTCTAATGCCACTTCGATTGGCAATAGAAAAAAATGGACTCATTTGGGTCACCAGCGGCAGCTATCTCAGAATCAACATTTCTATTGGGACCTTGGTTGGACTATCCAGCCTCGGTCTTTCACTTTTCTGTAGGATGAGAAACTTTCTACCTGTGATCAGCACCATCATAATCAATGGCCAAGACAAAAGTAGTGGAGCTTAAGCTACAAATTTTACTATAATGACTTTGTTTGTTTTCAACATATCGTGCAGTTCCAACAATATATTTTCCTAGTTTTGTTAATATTATAGAACATAATAACCTATTGGTAAGAACCAATAAGTGATTTAAGTACCATGTGAATGGCTGACTCCTTAGGAAATTGGATTTCATCTTTTAAACATGTATATACATAAATGCTCCTTCTTGAATCTTACATGCTGAAAAGGACTTTACGATCTTAAATCATTCTTTTCAGGCCAATCTCCCCCAATATGATGATGTTCAAAACCAGCTAGACTAGAACACCTCTGGACAAAAATTCTTCATACTCAACTTCAACTTCTACTTTCACTAGCCAGTAAGGACTATCCAGCAGCTCCTGTCTTCTATTCAGTAACTCCATAGCAATTAGTATGTGAAACTCTCCAGAGAGATCTTGATGACTCATGCACATTTGTCTTAAACCAAAAAGATGTTCTGTTGGAGCCATTGGAATTTCTGTAGTACGCTGAAAACACATTTTCTTGTTCTTATCAAGACAAAACATTCCATGCTCAGGAACAGAGATGAACTTATGTTGAACCGGCTGAACACCGATAGGAAGAGAGTTGTTTACTCCTTCAGCACCAAAATTTAGAACCAATACATCTTCACTATCAACTTGAAATCTAGTTCTTCTGATTCTTGGAACTGAGGAACTTGGGCCTTGCTGCTGAGGACGCTGTGTAGGAACAAGATCAAGACGCTGAACTTTCTTGATCAGTAAGTGAAGAGCACAGGTCAGTTCTGAAGAAAGAGCTGAAGTTTGCTTGGATGCTAATTCAAGCAATTTCATCCATTCAGAGTATCCATATCTAATCATCTCGTCTCTCTTTATAACTTCAGTGTATGGATGTTGAGGACCTTGACGAGTGATCAACAAAGTAAGGATTTTCTCGTCACGAGGTTTTGAGGCTTTGACTTTGATGATCTTATCATTGCTCACTCTTCGTTTAAGAACATCTTGAAACCTCTTGCGATCAATTATGTCGAGAACACTATCAGTCCTTGACTTACTGCTACTGGGAGGAGGTTGTGAAGATTTAGATTTGGACTAATATTCTAAAAACCTTTGCATCTGAGCTTCAAAGGATCCTTTGGCCTGAAGTTTGTGTTGAATGAGGGATTCATTAGGTTGAGCAATATTCTTTAGAAGATGAGCTTTATTGGCTTCCTCAAGGATTTTCTTAACTAGATCATGAGACATGTTCCATTCAGCTGCCAAATTGGATATGCTGACAATGGACTTAGGTTTCTTGTTGGGAAGAGAAGTATCAGTATGTGAAACAGAAAATTCTGTATCTACTTCCTTGCGCTTGCGAGATAGAGGTTGAAGATCCTTGCTAGCTACATCTGAGTCTTCTCCTTGAACTGGCACAATGGGATCAATGAAGTTCATGTCCAGCATCTGACACTCATCATCATGTTCATCTTCATCATCATTTGAGTCTTCTCCTTGAACTGGCACAGTGGGATCAATGAAGTTCATGTCCAGCATCTGACACTCATCATTAGGCTTTTCGGTTTCTGCTAGTTTATCAGACTCGTGCACAGGTTGTGGTGGCTTGGTCTCGTTCAAAATGTTATCTTCAGATCCAAGCTCAACAGAATCATTTTCTCCCCCTTTTTTATCAGCATCATGATTTGGGCTAGGGGAAGGAGTTGACAGAAGAACTCCCTTCAGTTGGTTGACACCAGCCTTAATACGTAGAAGACGCTGACTCATGTCTCGAGTCAATGTAAGAAGCTCATTAAACGCTGAGGCTGGGATTTGAATGAGCTGAGCACCTGGAATTTCTTGTGATCGATGCTGCTCCCCCGGAGAGGGTTGCTCCCCCTGAGATGGTTGCTTCTCCTAAGATTGTTGCTCCCCCTGAGCTGAGTGAACCCTTTCAGTGACAGAAATACTAAGATGAGAAAGTTGAGGGGAGATATGACCACCGTCTTGCATTTCAGCTTGTAGATCAGCATGAATTTCGTTGTTATCATCAGCTCCTTCGTCAGTGTTAGCGTTTAGTGAATGAACTGTATATGGATTTGCGATCCATTCTCGCATTCGATCAGAGATGCCGATGTCATTTGCTAGTGGATCATCCTGATACATTCGTACTGACATGCGTGGGCATTGAATGGGGTTTCCAGAGTGGGAGTAATAGGCTTCAGCGAAAAATTTATCCAGGACAAAAGCAATCAAGCGTGGAAATGGAACATGATCAGCTCGTACATTGGCACGAAGAAGTTGGACAAGCTGATCAAAGAAGAAGGCCCCATAATCAAGACGTTTGTTGAGAAGAAGGGAACAGGCAACTTGTTGCTCATAAGTACTCAGTTGATCACCACTATGAGATTTGTGACCCACACATTTGCAAAGTGCCCCGGTGAAGAACTTCCATCCTGGAGTCATACATTGACGCAGAATGAGAGCTGAGCGAGCAACAGCCTTCGAGTGATCATAGCCTAGTTGATCAAAGAGGCGTCGGCAGCGTTCAATAGTTGGAAGCTTAGAGAATGGTTCAAAAATTGGTAACCTGAGTGCAACACTGAGGAGATCAGCGGTGATGAAAACTGAGCGACGGCCATGCCCAATAGTGCCGGAGATGACGTTGTTTTCATTATTAACCATTACGGTGTAGTAGAACTCACATACTTGTTCGGGAAAGAACTCTGATGGAACCTCACTGATAGCGTATCGAAGTCTGCAGGATACTAAAAAATTGACAAAATCATCAAGTCCAAGACCGCGATGAACATCTGGTATATCAGGGTTGAAAACGACATTTGTGGATTTGATGTATATGGGAAGAGGAGGAGAGTTTGGAGCTGGGACGACTCTTCTTGAAGTGGAGGAGAAAGTAAACAGTGATGCCGCCATTGAAGAGAGTTTGGATTCTAGGGTTTTGAAGAGAGAGAGAAGGAAGTTTGAATGATGGGAGGAAGGTTTGGGAGAGAGGTGGGAAAAAGTTTAAACATGGGATTAAATGGTTTTAAAAAAGGTAATGATTATCTTTATCGAAAATATTTGCGTATCTTAACAAACTGTCAAATAAAAAAAAAGAGGCGTTGGGTAAAAAGAGCCGTTGTACTGAAGAGGAAACGACAATCAGTGTCTACGGAAGCGCTGAGATCAGTATCACGAAAAGTTAGATGCTGAAAGATATTATGTCATCAATTCAAGGTACAACTTGCTTGTTTAAGGTTAGCAAGGTGGTTGGTGCATGTGATAGATATTGGTTTAGTTATCTAATCATCAGCACAGAGTGTTGAGTCTTTATCAGTGAGTGGTGCTTCTTACTGAATCATTAGACATTGAGCAAGAAGAAGGTGAAAAGAGGATTGTTGTGTGTGATAGACCTTGGTGTTTTGGTCTAACCATCGGCAAAGACTGTTGGACTCTCATCAGCATGTGTTTTGTCACACTAAATCACAGAATCAGTGTAAGATTGGTAAGAAGGGATAGTTGCGTGTGATAGACCTTGGTGTTTTGTCTAACCATCGGCAAAGAGTTTCAAGTTGTTATCAGTGTATGGTTTGATACAGTGAATCATTCAACTTTAGTTTAGAAGATTTGTAGAAGAGATAAAGATATGAGATCATACAATGTACTCAGCATGGTAAACATCATCAGCACATCATCATCAGTAAAAAAAATACATTAGTTTATAAGACAATAGCAAATATTAGTAAAACATTTTCAATCCAGAGTGATCATTCCAAGTTCTCCATAAGTTACTGAAGGACCAGTTTTCTTGACATAGTCTTCTAGGAGAGACTTGGATCCTGTCATATGTCTTGAGCAATCGTTGTCTAAGTACCATAGATACTCTTGACCCTGCAGTGCTGAAAAAACTAGTTAGAACACACTGACCCATTGTAAGATGGGTCATTCACAAAGTTATTTGACAATATATTATAGCACTCTTTAGGAAGACAGTTCAAAGAATTTGATTTAAGAGTCCATCTTTCATTTCTAACATTGATGTTGTCAGCTCTTAACGATGTTTTATCAAACTTGCATTCACTGATCTTGTGAGAGGTGTCACCACATTTGTAACAAACTCTAGTACCAAAGTTTTTCTTGGTGAGCAGATTTCTAGATTTAATACATTTGGATTTGAAAGATTCATCAAGTGAACTTTGAGTCCTTTTATTTGATATTGAATTGCAACTGAATTCAATGTTAGAAGAATTATGATCAGTGATGGATAAGGAGCTGACATCAGTACTAGATTTAGACTTATGCATTGAAGCACTGCAATCAGGATAATGTTTAAGTTGTTCATGAACAGCATGAAACACTCCGTTTGAGATAGGAAATGCGATAATATTTTCAGTGAGAGGAGTTGGTCTCTCAAGATGTACAGGGTAAGAAGTAGGATCAATTCCGGTAATTTCAATATTACATTCAGTAACACCATTAGAATCAGTAACACAGTATTCATCAATGAGACTCTGATTAATGAAAGTGTTGCTGATAATTTTTTTTTGAAACTATCTTTTAATTCATTCATGGAATAAAATTCAGATTCCTTTTCTTGAGATTTAAAAACTTTTTCAGCTTCAGCAAAATTTCCCCTAAGGATTTTCTCACATGAATGAGGTATTTGAGAAGAAATAACATAATTATCATTTTTGTGAGATTTAGCCCAAAGTTTTAACACAGTTTGTTCTTTGTTCAAGAGGTCTTTAACTTTATCAATTTCAGCAGATAGCGAGGAATTTGATAAACTAGTAACTCTTAGATTTTCTTGAGTAGTGTCAATAATGTTATTTTTCAAGGTAGTTCAGTTTTAAGAAGATCAATTTGATTCTGCATATCTCTTATGATTTGATTCTTCTTAGAATTAAGAACACCCAAATACTCAAACATTTTGATTTTTTCATTCATTGAATAGGAAACAAAATTTTGAACCTGATACATTGAAGGGGAATCAGTGTTGTGCTTCCTGGAGTTTTAAATTGCATCAGACATATCAGCATCAAACGAACTGTTGCTGACTTCACATTCATCAGTATCTTCTACCTTAGCCATCAGACATTTAACTTCATCATCTGATGACTCCTCATCAGTCTTCCATTTTTCTTCTTCAGCGACAAGAACTTTATGTTCCAAGTTCTCTACTTTCAGCTTCTCAACCAACTTGTTGTACTTCTACTTCCAGTAGTCCTCCGAGCTTTGGGTTCTTCTTTGCTTGTATTCTTTTGCAAAATGATCAGTGCTACCACAGTTAAAGCACCGAGCTTTGCCTTTCTTTTCGGTAGCATGTTGCTTGATGGCATCTAACCTTTTAGAAGACTTCCCATCCATCCTTTTCTTTTCCATATCATCAGTCTCACTTTTAGAAGAATCAATTTCTGAATGGTTTTCAGTGTCTGGCTCTGACACTTACTTTTTGTTTGAAAATAATGCCACTGATGACTCACGCTGAGCATCCTTCATCAGCTCCTTTCTCTGGAGCTTGGATTCCTCATAGTATCGAAGGTTTCCATAGAGACTTTGTAAATCCATTGTGCTGATCTTCTCATTATTTTTTAGCACATCAACATGATTCTCCCAACCTGCACCGAGAGAATCCAAAAAATTCTACACTAGAACAGTTCGATGCTTCAACTGATCTAGTCTCTGCAGATCATTAACAAGAGTATTAAACATGTTAAAGGTTTGAGTCAGGGTTTCACCTTTCTTTGCAAAGAAATGTTCATACCTTCTGTTTAGATCATTTATTTGAGTAGCCTTGACTTCCTCGGTGCCTTCAAAAGATACAGTCAGCGTGTCCATCATTTCTTTTGCTGAGATGTAGTTCTGAACCAGCCCAAAGATATTGTATGGCAAAGCATAGCTGATTACAGCTCGAGCACGAACATCGAGACCATTCTTTCTTTTGTCATCTGCTGTCCAGTTTTCTCTAGGTGTTTTCTTCATGACACCATCAGGAACATTGTTTTTCAAGGGCTGATACATCGGAACATATGGACCTTTGTCGATGATGTCCAACATGTCTTCATCTACAGATTCTAATGCATAGAGAGCTTTGATTTTCCACATAGCAAAATTGGTTTCATCAAATGGATGATTTGATGAGTTTAAAGAGGAAGATGATGAAGCCATTTGTTTGATAAGAGAACACTGCTCTGATACCAATTGAGAGGACCTTAGATCAAACAATTATCAAACAATGACTATCAACAAGAACAACGAGGATTCACAAAGATAAACTTTCACTAAGAATGATAATCTCACAAAGAGATTATCGAATGCATAAAGCGGCTATTAGGGTTTGTGAAAGATGATCTCTCACAAACTTGTACAAAAAGACTATATAAAATTAATCTAGGCAATCCCAACAAATCAGGGATATACCAGCCAACTAATAGACGATAACTATGGAAACAAGATAAGTACTAAATCTGTTAAAAAATGTTGAATATAAAACTATACACTGAACAACTGGTATGCTGACGCTGATGCTGGCACTCGGTTATGTGCTGACGCTGAGTGACCAGTTTCAAACATCATCATATTATAAGGTTCGACCTTACAGGTAGTTTATGTCAAAAATCCCAAGGTTCTTAATGCTCTTTTGGAGCTCAAAGGACATGGTTGTTTACATAAGGCAAGAAACCTTCCTAAACTCATCGTAGTGCTTATCATAAGAAAATATCTTATCATCAGTAGCATCATCAACAAGTTTGGGGATTTCCTCATTTAGAACATACTCTTTGTTATGGAACCTTAAGGTGATCCTCAACGTGCATATCTAAACAAGATAATTAGGTTACGTGAGTTTTTCTCTTCACGGTACATAGAGGAGTCTAAAGTTTACGGGAGGTGGTAGTGAAGGAGGAGGAGGAAGGTTCGTATACTAGTTTGATGTTATTAATCCTTAAAAAATAATTTATCCAAAACAAAATTATTTAACAAGGCTAGGATCTATATTTCACTATATGATATGAACATGGATGCCGTAGTAAAACACATGAAGCTAATTAGGTAGGCAACACTATTCATTAATTTAAGTCATTATGAAATTCCTAGATCTGTGAGCATCGTTGGCTAGGTTCAATGTCATTTTAATCTCGATTATGCTCATCTTAGTCCATGCCATGGATGTCGGTCATCATGGACTAGATGATGGATCAACCATGCAAAAAATGCATGATCCTTGAATCAATATATGCCTAAGTATCATGAGTACGACATCATTTTCAACCATGCCCTCAAATTGACATGCTGACAAACTGCACATGCTCTGTCAACAGTATATAAAGAAAATGTGCACTTTTCATTAAAAGCATAAGATTCATGTTTTTACTTACATTCAGCACATGATTTTGTTTTAATACTTCAAGTTAATACTTTTTACTTGTAGCATCATACTATCAAACCCTTTCAGTAACTCCACTCAAAATGCAAAAAGTTGGTAAGGGCGGTAAGCAATGAGCCTTTAAAAACTAGCCTAGTTAAGAATTGAATAGACCTCCTTAAAATTTTCTTATAGCATTATAATGAACGTGCCTAATCGTGATAAGACTGACAATTTGTTTAAACTTGCACGGACAGAATGTTCTACATATCTATACATACAAATTTTATTATAATGTGTGTGTGGGTATATATATATATATATATATATATATATATATATATATATATATATATATATATATATATATAATTAAACCTTGCAAGAACATATTGTTAATTAATATAAATTAATATTTAAATTTAGAATCACTATTACAAAAAATTTTTAAACAGGTAGTGTTTTATCCAATTTTTGAAAATCAACGTTTGGCTTCTTGAAAAAGAAGTTGAGAAACTTGTTATCTAGGGTTGGATCCACAACTCCTTATTTGCAAACATCAAGTTGCTGA